GCTGGCTCCACTCTCCAAATAGAGCAGTTACTTCATTGACGACAAGAACCCCATTTCCACTAGCCAAAGAGCAATTCATTTCTTTGACTCGATGCCTCCTCATTTGCTCCCATTCCCATATTAATAAAATAATTAGGGATATGCGAGGGAAAAGAATGCCAAAAGCATTTAGAGATTTGACTAGGATTTGTTCTGGCTCAGATGGCGAGGGATTGCTATAACTATTTTTAGAAGCATTAATGAGATCTCTTTTTTTCTTCATAAGCTTGCATCATGAATCCCACTTCCCACTTTACCTGCCACTTTACCTTCCTGTGCTTAATACCTAGCTTCAAAGAGCCCACTCTTTTATTTCATAGCCGAGAGGCATGAACGGTTGTGAAAAACCCTCTCCTGTGTGGGTCGTAAGAGTCGATTATCCAAGCGAGACCTTAGAGGGGAGGACACACCATAGCACCCATTGGTAGACTAGACTCCGGAGCTTCAAACAAACTTACAGTAAGCCTAATCAAAGCAGGCGCCCTCACCTCCTTCTTCACCGCCGGCGTCTACGGTTTGGGTGAAGGTATCAGCTCTGATACCATGTGTGATAAATTCTTCCCATTTTCCTGTGATAGTCAATAAACACAACCCTTACGTATCCGTATTTTGTAATCACCTTTCCCTTCCTGTCGCTTCCTTATACTAGAATTCTGATGATGCGTGCAACACTGGCTACTTCGCTACCCTACTATTAACAATTACGGAGTTTTGATTGTTTATCCAATGCAGCTTAATATGGTTATGCCAGCAAGGAGCATGAACTGAAGCTGGTTATTTACTTAGAAGAGGAAACGGCTAGTCAGCAGAGCAGCGCAGCGGAGTCATCATATTATCATATTCTTGAGTCTCTCCCCACGGGATGACCGCTTCCACCAGACTCTATTTCTATTGGTTCACCTTAGATTTATTGGTTGTCTACATCCGTCTAATCCTTATCTATAAGAACATAATCGCTAAGCTATGGATGCTTCGGCCGCACTCTCTACTCAGCTATCTGTTTCTACTGCGTTGCGTTTTGAAGGCCCGATACAAAAGAAAGTGGCCTTCCTTATTAGTAGTGATGGAGACGTCAGGTCCGAGAAGGAATAACCTAAAGCTAGTGATAGAATCTGTACAACCGGCAGGAGCGATTGATCAGATATCGCAGGAAGAGTGAACTAGTAGGCTTCTTGATCCTCCAATCAGTGGTAGTCACAAAGCCCGCACATTCCAATTCGATCATAACATGACTAGTTTCCTAAGGCATGACTTATCTTCCCAGAATAGCAAGCATATCGTAGCTATTTCACATAGTGTCCCAAGATATCAGTAGCTCTAGTCAATGCTGGCCTTACTCTTCCCTTTCCTTATGCTAAGTGGCAACCTCTTGTTTAAGAGTGCGGAATCCTATTTGTGTATCAGAAGACTATGGTGACCTGTAGATCTTGTATTTCGCCGGAATTCGTTGATTGTCATTTACAATGTTCGTTGTAAGATCACTGAGGGTCTAAATTGGGAGAGTTTGCTTGCTATCGAACAAATAGTGGAATCTAAAAAAACAATGAAATCCATTCACACAAGCTGGACCATTGCCTTCGGCAACGCCCTAATTCCTTTCCTATCTTTCTTCTTTTTCTCAAGGACCTGTAAGAAGAAGCAAATCCCTTTCTTGAATGGCCGAGGAAGAGGCGGCACTGAATAGAACAAGATCCCCCTCTACCTATCCTTGGGGCTGTGCGCTTTCTTAAACTTGAGCTGGGTAGGACTCAGGAGAAGGGTGCCTTGGGAGATAAGTAGTTCCTCACCTAAAGCCCTCGTAGAGTCTAAGTAGTGGACCAGAAATATGACATCCTTCCCGCTGTACTAGATTTTATCTGGTTAAAGCTAGGTGTGAACATTATATTCATTATAGAAGATATAGAAGATACTGCCATGCCAGCTGTTTCTTATTGGTAAGCTTGCTTTTCGTCGAATGTCTCTAAAGAGTGATGGTGAGTCGAGTAGCATGAATTGTCTATCCAAGGGGTCGCTAATGCGTTATTTGTATAGGATCTCAGTTATTATTGTCAGCTAGATCTACATAATATGCTTCACGCGGAGCCCTTACTTGGTTCGATTGGCATTTTTCTTATCATCCATCCACATAGGGAGAAAGGCCAAGGGCCCAGTGGAGTGATAAAATGAACTATCCAAATTAAGCTAATCCCATGTCCAAGTTCAAACCCCACATAGCCACTCTTCTTGATCCGCCACCATCACTTGAACTGAAGAATCAACCCGTTTCTTTGCCAATGGGTTTCTGCACAGAGAGCTAGATTAGGGATCGGATGTGCACC